CATTACCCAGCCAGAGCAGAGTTGGGGCTTAGGAAACATACACGGCCCCGCCACTCATACAAGCCTAGCTGGGCAGTGGCAAATCTAGGCCTCCACTTCCTCCTCCACATCAGCACCGTCCCCATGGGGTGTCATGTGGAGGGGAGATATCCCCACCGGGCAAAGGCAGTGATGTCAAGAGGCAAGAGGGAAGCGTGAGATGGAAAGGAGGGGAAGAAGGAGAGGGAGACATGCCAGGGTCCCAGCCTATTCAAAGGCTCCTCTTGGGAGTGGGAACCTCCTCTCTGCCCTTTTGGCTCAAAGGCATCTGGGCTCATGCTGTGCCAGCCTTTGATGCCGCTGCTCCTCTGAGCCCTCCCCTATGACTCCTCTTGGGCAGTGAGACTGGAGGCCCCCCACCCCAGCCTCCGTAGCAGCCCCTCCTGCCCACAGCCCCCATGCAGCAAAGGTAGAGGGTGAAGGAGGAGATGCTGAGGAGGAGAGACAGTGACTCTAAAACCTATGGCCCATTCTGTTGTCAGTGGGTGGTGTGTCAGCAACAAAGGCTCCAGGAGATGATGGGATGGGGGTACCAATCCCAAACACCATAGTTTGGAGCTTCTATTCTGCCTCCCCCATCCCCATATCTAAAAAGACATGGATTTCAGTTCATTCTGCAAATGACCACTCAAACCTAGTGAAAGGGCATGTCTCATATCCAGGGATGTGTCCCCCTAACTTACCCTCCTGCCGCTTACAGGATGCTGCATATAGTAGGACAAAAATCCTCAGGATGTCTACTCTGAGCAAATCCGCTGAATAAATTCTCTCTATTCTTCTCTTTCTTTCCTCTCCTTTCCTTTCTCCTTCCCTGTCTTCTCTCCTGAGAAGATGAGATAGGCACAGCATGGTGGTTGCCCACTGGATCTGTGCCATATTTTATCCAAATCAGAGGGACCCTAGAGATCTCCCAGTTTACCTCCCTCACCCCAGCCCAGGAAATTGAGACTCAAGGAGCCCAAGTGACTTGCTCCAGGTCACAGGGGAGTCTGCAGTAGAGCTGGTCTCAAAACCCAAGCCTCCTGATCCCCCAGTCCAGGGCTCATTCTAATAAATCAGGCTTTTTGACTTTCAGATGCTCCTGCTGATAATATCCAAAGGGCTGCAATTCTGAAACCATAGAGAGTTGGAGCCCAGATGGAGACAGTGATTTCTAGGGTCTGGAGACATTCCTCAGAGAATGGAGATCGAATGGGCTGAGGTTGTGGGAAGGGTGAGGGAAGAAGGGAAAGCAGGTCAATGATGGGGGAAGAGGGGTGAAGTTGGGGGAGGTGCCAAGGGTAGCAAGTGAAAGGATTACCCCAGTCTGCTGACGAGTGCAAATTATATTTATATATGTGCTAAATACAGTCACTATATTGGAGTTTTTCACTAGGTCACAGCATACAGAATCAAAGGTTTGCATTTTGTATGGAATGTATCCAAAGAGGCCAGCACCACAGTAGGACAGCTTGCAATCACACACCCTGATAGTTTGGACGAAATAAAGTTCGCGGAATTTTATTTAATTTTTTTTTTTTTTGTATTCGTATTTGTCATCGTACCAATGCATGCAAAGCATTCCACTCCCAGAAACAACGCCAAAATGAGGTAATAGGAGTAATAAAAAAAATTAGTATCCTTTCTAAATAAATAAATTATAATTAAAAATGCAAAACAACTATAAAAATAATTAAATAAGAACCCACAATATCTACAAGTTAGTCATAAATTATGATTGTTAAATATAAGGCATTTAAACTCACAAAACCCTGTAAACTAGCAACGTGCCATGTTTTTTGTTTTTTGTGTTTTTTTCATTTTTGTTTTTCTATCAGCTGAAATCGCTCTAGCATTTGCTCTATGCGCGCAGGAGATGAAACACGAGGGGACCTGACAGACGTTGCTACAGCCCCACACGGGGAGTGTTTGTCCCGCTGGCAGGCGGGGAGCTTGGGGGATTTCTTCAGGAAAAAAAAAAAAAAACTCTGGTGCTTTTTCTTCACCATTGAAAAAACTGTGCTTGTTCATTAGGCGTAAAGAGTTAAGAATACTTGCACGGAGGCTGGGAACATCTGCAGAAGAGGAGTTTGAGTCCTGCCACCGGTGGTGGGCAAGGGAGCCCGGGCACTGCAGGAGGTCCCGGCCAGGTGGAGGTGCCCACGGCCCCTGCCCGCCCTCTGCCTGTGCCCAGCTGGGCTCGTGGCAGTGGGCTGATTGATCGGTGTCCTCAGTGGGCTTGTGGTGGCATGGCTGCGGCTGCAGTTAGGAGGCCCAACTTGAATCCTGGGGCCGCTCTCACCCCAGAAGGCACTCATGCGTCTCAGTCAAGAAGGGGTCTGAGTCCCTTGAGTTGAGCATAAGGAGGACTACCAGTGGTTTCCCCTCCTGGAGGTGGTGGATGTGAGATGCTGAGGCCTGACCCTGCCACTTCTCTGTTCTTCCCATGTTCCAGGCCAATGGGGGACCTCGGAGGAGCACAAGTGCAGACCCTGCTTCTCCCTTCCCACCCAAAGGGCTGCCTGGCTGAGGAAATGGGTGCTGGGAGGGTTCTGAGTGCCCACAGCCTCCTGTCCCCACCTACAGGGTACAAGGGCCTCAGAGACGGGAAGGGATGGGGGAGCTTCAGGATCTATCCCCAAAGTAAGCAGCTTACCTCTCCCCTCTGGGAGGTCCCTACCACAGTCCCTAATGTCAGCCTGGAGCCAAGAACTGAGAGGGATGAGAGGACCCAGTTCCACTCTCTCACTCAGCACGAGTGCCCTCAGCCTCTGAAACACAGGGTCGTGCCCACAGAAAGTCCTTTTCAATGGCTTGGTCAGCCGACTTGAAAGAAGATATGTAGATATTAGGGAGGATCACAAAGTGTGCGTGCTGTTAGGAAACTTAGCGAGCATCCAATCCAACCTCCTCGTGTCACAGCTGAGGAAACTGAGGCTCAGAGAGTCAAAGCGGGGTTTCTAGCACTGCCCACTTTGTCAGTGAAGAGCCAAGACTGAACCCGGGTCACCAGCTCTAGTTCCATCCTGGCCTCCCCGCTGACCCCCTTCCACCTGCTGGCCTTTCAAACCAGCCTCAGAAGAAGGAACGAAAGACTGAGACTGAGAGGAGAGACCCTCCTAGACCACCGCAGCTACCTCCAGATCAAAGCCATCTTCCAATGAATTCTTGGTCTTGACCCAGCCATTGGGGAGGATGGAGAATTCCCAATTTAGTGTGGTTGTTAGTAACCGGCTTTCCCTGAAATCTTGACTCAACTGTACTTTCCCTACTGGTGGGATCTCCAGCCTTTAGCTCTGGAGACATTGTTCACACACTGAGATCACTGAATTAGACACTGTAATGCTCGTTACTGCTAACCCAGAATCTTAGCTTATTCACCATTTTTGCACTATTGGATGTGTCTTGTCCCCTCAGCTAGACTGTAGGCTCCTCAAGGCAGGGACACTTTCTTTCTTACTGTCTTTCCCAGCACCTGCACCAGTAGGCACTCAATAAAGATTTTATAGAACACCTAGATATTGGCACTGGGAGAGGCCTTAGTCTGAACAAGGTTCTTGAGTAACCTCCTGCCAGGAGCCACTTTCCCCACTCTTGGCCTGCAGGAGACAGCACCAGTTGTGCTAGAAGGCTCTACCTCAAGCCAAAATCTGCCTCCCTGTCATTTTTACCCATTGGTCCTGTCTTTACCCTTGGTAGCAGCGATATAGACTCAAATTGCCTTAACCGTATGGAATTGCTTCACATATGTGATACATAAACTGTCCCCTTAGTCTTACTGATATGAGGGCACTGAGACTGGGTTGGGGGTTGAGGTGAAGGGAGGCTTTGAGAACATTGCAAATTAGGGAAGAGGAGGAGGGCAAAGGGCACAGGAAGATCGCAGAATTCCAGTCGACCTGGAGTTTCCCATGTATGGATAAAGAAAGTTGAGTTTGGGTTGGAATTTGGTGGATTTTCTCATCTCCATTCTTCTGTCCTCCCATCTCCTTTTGCGATTCAGAAAAATTGTGGGATGGTATAGAAAGACACACTGTATGGTGTCACTCAGAACTTCCAGGTCTGTCTCTCCCAGCACCCGGATCCCCAAACTCCAGAAGGTTCCCAGGAGAGAGCATAGGACACACCGGACAGAGAGTATTAATCCTCACAACACCTCGGTGAGGTAGAGGGAGAGGACATGAGCATGCACTGTTGTTTCCCCCCACTCAGAGGAGAAGGAAACTGAGGCACAGAGAAAGAAAGGAACTTGCCCAAGGTTATCAAAGAGTCAAAGAAGAAGCGAGAGGCTAGGGACATGGGGCCTCCCAAACCCAGCCAATGTGGTCTCAGAGCCAGGGCCATTTCTGAGGGACAGTATCAGGACTTGAGACATCCCAGAGGAAGCTCAAGGGTCTCCTCAAGGTCCACTTGACCTCAGACCTGAGTGCTGGCTGAGAGCACTTCGGCCAAAACCCAGTGTCCGTCCCCTATGCTATCCAGTCTGCATCATCTGGTTAAGTTTTTTGCATAGGGAGGCAGTGACTACCTCACCTCTTTGTGACAGGTCAAGAGTACAGCCTAAAGGAAGGAGTTGGGGAGCACATGGCCTCCTGGCTCTGGGAGCACAGAGCTGTAGCTGAAAGCCAGCCCTCCTTAGGTCAGGGTGGAACCAGGGGGGACAGCTGGAGCCAAGCAAATGAGCCCTGGGACTGGGAGCCCTCCCTCAAGATGAGCTCCCCCCTTTGCCGGCTCAAACTTTACCTTCCTCACCTCCCCTGAAACCCTCGGAGCCTGGAGAAGACCCCACTTCTCCTTTTCCAAATGCCCCCTCCACGCTCCGTGCACTGTAAACATGAGAAAAACAGAAGCCAAGGAAAAACAAAAACAAAAACGAAACGAGCACCCCCTCCCACCTCCCAACCTGGGTGAAAAAAATCATCTTTTTTCACCGTAGACAGGATTTGGCTTTTTTTTTTTTTTTTATCACTTTGATTCCTTTTTCCTTTTCTCTCATAAAGACGGGAAGATTGGGGCTGTCGTTGGTTGGTTCAGTCAGGCACCAAAACAAGAAACTCAATGAGGAATATTTGGTGCGGATTCAGTAATAGCGACATGTCCACCACAAGATGACTAGAGCACCACACACGACATTTTTCTTAAGCTAACATGCTCTGGCTGCCATCCACAGAAATAGCTAGAGACCCCTACATGGTTGCTACGTGGTCGAGAGGTATATACACAGTCCTTCAAAGGACAGGATTGAGGGGCCGGTCTATCAGCTAGTACCTTCAGGGTCGTACCTAGGTTCTCAGCAGCCTGGGCCCCCCCTTCCCACCCTGCTCTGGGCATGGCCAGCTCCCTCCCTCCAGCGCAGCAAGGCGGATGGGGGCAGTCACCATTCTGCATGGGTGGGTCTTCCCCCCTCCTTTCCCTCAGACACTGATACCACCAACTCCTCTCTCCACAGAATGTGCTTGCAGGCTTCTCCTCTACGTCAGATGGCTCAGAAGGCAAAGTTTGGCTGCAAGGGCTATGGCCGTGGGGGACCTGGTGAAGGAAATGGGGTGTCCGCTGGCTAATTCCTCCCTCAGCTGTCGGCTCCCAGCTGTGTCTCAATGTCCACTCGGCAGATGGGGCATTTCTTGCTCATGGCGAGCCACTGGTCCACACACAGTTGGTGAAAGAGATGCATACAGGGCAGGCGTCTGCAGGAGAGGAGTGAGGGTCAGGGGACTGGCAGGGAGAAGGACTGGGGCTGTGTCAGGAGCTGAGGAATGCTGAGGGGACCAGGGGACATACACCCAGGACCCCTGGGGAATTGCCAAAGAGGGTTTTAGGAGCCTTGCCACAGAATCAGGCTGTGGCTGAGTTGGGAAACCATGACAGGAAAGAGAGCCTCAAGGCCCACCTCCTCCAGGAGGCCCTTTCAGATTAGATGGAAACAAAGCCATGATTCTGTCTTAGGCCTATCCAGGCCAAATATCGCACTGTTCTCTAACATTTGCATCTACACGTCTATACCCCTGGGTACCATACGTCCAGAACACTTCACACCTCACCTCCCCTGTGTAACCATGAAGCACACTATAGCACTCCTGGCACACTCACATGCACAAGCAAGCAAGCACCTCCACCCCCAGAATACAGCGCAATGATGGGTCACCAATTCCTGTGAGAGAAGGGAGAAGGAATCAAAGAGGTGCCCCCCTACCTCACATCCTCTCCATCCTCGAGCATAGACAGACAGATTGTGCATTTCTCATCTGTGTCTGACTCCTCCCCCTCGTCCTTCTTGCCCTTGCCGTCCTGGGGTCTTCGCTAGGAGAAGCAGAGAGAGGGGCATTCATTACCTGGAGCAGACTCACCTGGTGGCCACTGGCTTTGATCCACCATCTCCTCCCTCCCTCGCAGTCTCTCCTTCCCCTGGAGTCAGTCTCTCTGTAAGTTCTTAAGTAATACCCAAACCTCCTTCCCAGCCACCCCCCATCACTACGCGGTGAAAGCCAAGTGAGGAAGAGGCTGAACGGACTTTATTTTTGCTGTCCCAGGCACTTTCTAGGGGCAAAGAGTTTGGAAAGGAATTGGGTCCCTAATGAATCAATCCTCTGCAAAGCTATGATGTGTGCATAAACAGCTTTCTCTTTCTGCTCCTTCCTGCCGACCACTCCTCCTTACACCATTTCCAGCCTAGATCCCTGCCTCCACTTTCAGGTCCAGTATGCTTCATTCATTCATTCGCTTATTCACGCTTTCACTCAACAAATATCCATTCATTATTCACTCATTACTAGATGAAGGGAAAATTCCTCAACCTGGTCCTGACTCCTATAATTTGTACCACACTGTTAAGAGCTATTGTATACATGTGGTCTTCAAAAAGATCATGGAAAGATACATACTATCTTTTAATTCCATTTCCCATTAACTTATCAAAGTACTCTCATATTGTTGGATTTCGCTTCCTATCCAGAAAGTTCCTTTAAGATAGGCACTAGCTCCAACACGAGATTAGACATCATACAGGATATCTATTTATACTTGTTGACTTTAATATTCCCATTTTTAATTCTGTGCTAGTTGTTTGCAAATAGTTAATGTAGAAAGTTTTAAGTTCATAGATGGCGTGGACAATGGCTTACCCTTCTTTACGTACCACCCCGCACTTGGCCAAGTAAAGGTATATCGTTGCTGCTTAATAAATATTCTGGGGAAGAAGGAATCTAATAATCAGTGAATGAATTAGCCTGCCTTTTGTGTTCTCATCTCCCTGCTCTGCAGGGAAACAGTCTGACAATAACCATGGGAAGAAAACTACCCATTATGTCCCTTCTCCAGGGATAAGCAGACTTAAAGGTCATTTTGCAAAGACAAAAATCTGGAGTCACAAGATGAGGACCACCCAGAAAATGACCTTGAGGCCAAGCCTAGACACCAGGTCTCCCTTCTCTGGTCCTAAGCTCTGGAGTTCCTTAGTGTCATTTAGTCTGGGGAATACTGTAACCTCACTGGAACATACAAGAAAACCTATTCCTCCTGCTTTCAGTCTTGCTATGCCCTATAAACCTCACTACAAACCATGCCAGGCTTCTGCAGTAAGCTTCCTCTTATCCAGAATCCAGAAAATCAGAATGACATCCATAGTCCCATATAACTGTCATGAATTTTGGGTATGAATAGAGTCATGATGATCTCTCTGCTGGTTTAAGAGTCCAGCTGTGTTTACTGGAGGAGTGGCCTCCCTTTAGTTGGCTCTGCCAGAAAAGGGATGTCCAGTAAAAGACACAATTAAGACTCAACTACTCTTGCCTATTTTCTATTGTTTTTGCCTGTCATTGTTCAAATTTTCCTTTTTAGGGCCGGCCCGGTGGCGCACTGCTACAGTGCGCCGCTTGGGAGCGCGGCGGCGCTCCCGCCGAGGGTTCGGATCCCACATACAGACCGGTTCCCGCTCGCTGGCTGAGCGAGGTGCGGGCACAACACCGAGGGTTGTGATCCCGTTGCCGGTCCCGGTCCGGTACAGGCGCGACACTGAGGGTTGCGATCCGTTGCCGGACACAAAAAAAGACAAAAAGGAAAAAAAAAAAAAAAACAAATTTTCCTTTTTATAGTTAATAATTTTAGTTTAATATTACCTTGTTTTACTGTCTAATCTATATTTCTTTAAATTAGTTTCTCTTTTCAAACCTTATCTTATTTCCTATTTTGTATTTTTAATCTTTTAGATTTCCCAGTTTTTGTTTTCTCTTCATTATTGACATAACTTATTATAACTAACTTTTTTCAGTATTTATTTATATTAATAATTATTCTATCCCTTTGCCCTTACCTTCTTATTTTATTAACATTCCTTTTTAACTTTGATGTTATTGATCTTAATTTTATATGTTGCTTTCGTATCTTTTCCCAGTTCTTATTTTTTCATATTTTTCTACTTTTGATTCTATATTTTCTCTATTTTGTCAGGGTCAGGGGGCAGCTGACCTGTTAGCTCACTTGGAAAAGCATAGTGCTGATAACACCAAGGTCAAGGGTTCAGATCCCTGTACCAGCCAGCTGCCAAAAAAAAAATTAATTAAATAAAATGTATTTTTCTGTTTTGTATTATTTTACTTTCAGTTTAAATTTCTTAAGGTTTTTCTTCATATTTTATTTGGGCCCTAACCATTGTCATTTCTCATTTTTAATTCTTATTTTTTAAAATATTTTTATTCCCTTAATTCTCCCTTTATTCTCCTAACTTTTTACCTGAGCCCTTTTTCTCACTGATTAGTCCATTTTCCCTTTTCATTCTTGGTGTTTTCTTTCCCTGTTTCCCTGTGGCTGTTGAAATGATGGCAGGTAAGGTGTGTGGTCTTGGCAGGAGCAAACACTCCACTCCTTTCCTTCCATCTTCTTCTCCAATAGCTTAAAGCTCACTTTCCAGAGAATGATTATTTTCCCCTTGCCAGTGACACCCTTAATTACTGAACTGGTAATTTCCTCTAGTGGTACACTATCTAGTGTCTGACACGTGGTAGCTACTCAATAAAATGTGGTTGAAATCATTTATGAATAAATTCAATGCCTCCGTGAGGAGCTGCATATACCAAGATGCTAGGTCTTTGACATTGACTCTACTGGCACAGGGGCAAGCCCAGAAAGGAGCATGACTCATATCAAGGTAACAGCAGCTGAACATTCCTGAGCACTCAGTAGGTACCAGGTACTGCACTAAGCTGTTGATGTGCATCAACCCACTGAACCTTGTAGCACCCATTATGGTAACTACTAATATGATCATTCCCATTTCACGTTAAAAAGGGCAGGGGAGGGGCCAGAAAAGCCAAGCAAGTTGGCCAAAGTCATGCAGCTACAGGTGGTAGAGCTGAAATTCAGAACTGGAATTCAAAACTGGCTCTGTCTGATCCAACACTAAGTGCTCTCAATCACATGCCCTGGGGTCTCTGGCTTGACCACAATGAGCATGGTTCTGCTCTAAGTTTCTCAACACTTGTCAAGCTTTTAACTCCCCCCAGAATGGGGAGATCTTTAAAAAATCACTTATTTATTTATTTTTCTAATAGACTTTATTTTGTAGAGCAGTTCTAGTTTACATAAAAATTAAGAAAATAGTACAGTATGTTCCCATATACCCTCCCCCATCCCCCCAACACACACAGCTTCCCCTATTATTAACATCTTGCATTAGTGTGGTACCCTTGTTACAACTGATGAACCAATATTTACAGACTATTACTAACTGAGGTCTATTAGATTATATCAGGGTCACTCATTGTGCTGTACCTTTCTGTTTTGACAAATGTGTAATGTCATGTGTCCACCATGACAGTATCATACCCAATACTTCCACTGCCCTAAAAAATCCCCTGTGTTCCATCTGTTCATTCTTTGTCCCTCCCCATGGAAACCACTGATCTTTTTATGGTTTTTATAATTTTGCCTTTTCCAGAATGTCACATAGTGAGAAGCATACAGTACGCAGCCTTTTCAGGCTGACTTCTTTCACTTAGTAATGTGAACTTAAGGTTCCTCCATGTCTTTTCATGGCTTAATAGCTTATTTTTTAAATTGCATGATAATATTCCATCGTATGGATATATCACATTTTGTTTATTCATTCACTTATTGAAAGACATCTTAGTTGCTTCCACACTTTTTTACTTATTTTAGTTTAAAAATGTTTCAAAAACTCAGATCCCTGAGCTCTACTCCTACCCCAAATTCCTGGGCAATAATCCTGGAGATTCTACCTCTATAGGCTTAAGGTAGACCCTGTGGCTCTGTGGCTTTAAAAGCTCCCCAGTTGATCTTGATGCTCAGTCAGGTTTGGAAACCCCTGTTCAGAAGCCTTAGTTGTCCATTTGTTCACATGTACGATTGGACTTGGTTTATTTTCTTAGACAAATATTAGCCTTCCACGTATGAGCCCTCTTTGCCCACTTCATTCAGATGCAAATATTTATATGCCTGTACACCTACATGTGTACACATACACCCACTCGCAAGTTCACATGCATACACACATGCCCAGCCCTCCTCCTTTACTGATGAGAGGTCCCCCCTTCTCCCCTCCTGATAACATCTGGCACAGGCAAGTGAGAAAATCCTAAGAAAGTATTACAGCTTCCATCTAACTGGAGTAAAGCCTTCTGAATTTTGGACAGTGCCCTTCTGTGGGCAATTAGACAAACTTTCCCTCCCATTCCCTGCCTCTGCAGAATGGCCTGCTGGCAGACTCACCTTCTTGTACTTGTGCGGGAAGGTGAACCTCTCAATGGTGTTCTGTACAGCTCCCCGAGTCACGTTTCCCAACCTGTCCTCAAGCTGCAGCAGCTCCTGCAAAGAGAAAAATATAAATGTGTGTACTCAACATGTACAAATGCACACATACACACGTTATACAGATGAAGCATTCACATAACCAACGGGAAGAACAAGTCTGATGTTGAAAGACTGCACCATCTCTACTCACTCTCTCTTTTTCTCTCCCTTACTCTCAACTCTGGATCTTTCTGCCACCCATGCCCTATCCACCAGCAGTGAGCAGGGAGAAGGGATGTTGAATGATAATGGTTTCTCTATCAACCCAGTTGGTGCCAGACAGAGTGACATACCTCATAGCTCTCCCGCACAGCAGAGGTGTGTCTGCTGGGATTTAGTCCCTGGAGAGCAAGGAAGTGAAGCTGAGGGTAAGGGTAGTTTCGGATTTCATGGACGACCTGTTGGGGAGAAAATGCCTTGGATAGAGCAAGGACTAAGGCTTCTTGAAGAGCCCAGCGTGCCACTCCTCCTCCCCAAACCACCAGTTAGCACCCGTTTGCGATGTGTGCATGGGAGTGCTGTCTTTCCCACCCTTGGGTCCCTCTCTCTTCATCAAAACCCAAGCTTGTGCCTGTACCAGCCCCAGAAGGAATAACAAAATCAATAAAGTGACAACTAACCCTGATTGGTCATTTACTTCACAGTAAGCACTTATCTAAGCACTTCACATGACTGACTGATTATCTCACCTATCTAAAGGTGCAACTGCTATCCCCATGTTACTGATAGGGTAAGTGAGGCACAGATAGGTTAAGTAATTAATTGGCCTAAGTTATGCAACCAAGTGACAGAACCAGGATTTCAAATCCAGGCAGTTGGGCAGCAGAGTCAATTCCCTTCACCTCTACTCTGCCCTGCCTCAGAGAGCAACATGATGGTTAAGGACTTGGGCCAGGACCAGAGTAAAGGCACAAAATTTAAAAGACTCAGGGTATTAAAAGACTCAGTAATTGAGATAAATAACACTGTAATGTAATCTTTTTAAAAAAATCAAAATGAATGCAAAAGAAGTCCATGCTAAGCAAAATATCAATATCTTAAAGACAGACAGACTCTGACCCTGAACTTGCATGGCCCAGACTCACTCATCTGACCCTAACCCTGGCTATGAGTCAGAAGGGCCAGGTTTCCATCAGGGCTCTTCAACTTACTGTGCATCCCAGGGCCAGTTGCTTAACCTCTCTATGCCTCAGTTTGCCAATCTGTAAAATAGGGACACTACCATTTTGTGTGGGGTTACTGAGAGGTTTAAATGAGATAATTTATGTAAAGTGCTTAGAACAGTGCATGATATGTGGTAAGTACTCCATAGATGTTCACTTCTCTTCTTCTCAGGAGATGATGCTTCATACCATGGAACCTCAGAGCTGACAAGGACTTCAGACATTACTTGTCCAAGCCCCTTATTATACAAATAAGGAGACTGAGAAGCTAAGTGGTTGAATGACAGAGAGAAGGATTGAAGGGTGGAATTACATTTTAGAGCAGCAACATGAAGCTGACTGGAAATAAGAAGAATTTCAATCAGTTTTTTGCTGCTTTCATGGAATATGTTCATTTTAATTTTGTGCAGCTTGCAATGCAAAAAAAAAATGAAAGGCCCCCAAACCCAATCCGATCCTTCTGCAATGTTCAGCACTCTGCAGTCTCCAAAAGGCCTGCCCCCTACAGAAGGCAGAACTGGATCTGCAGGCCAGGCCCAAGGGCTCCGTCTGTGATATTTTCGGCCCTCACGCCAGCCCTGTGAGATGTGCAAGACAGGCATCTTCACTCCCTTTTCACAGAGAAGTAGAACCAAACCCAGGGAGGTGCTGACCACAAGAAATTAACTAAATGAAGTCATATGAGATATGGGATCTAATCTGCCTTATCTTAGCCCTGAGCCTTTTCCCCACAGACCACAGACTGTCACACTGTCCCTTTTCACTCCTCCAGTGCCCACTCCCACTCCCTCCAGCGGTACCAGCTTCTATTCCAGCAGGTTCCTTTGCTTTCCCCTCAAGCCAGAGTGGAAACAGGAGCTGGGAGGGGAGGAGAGCCATCAGTGTACCTGAGAGCCAGAACACAGGGGACCTAGGGCACAGGGGAGCCAAGACACAGGGGAACTAGGGCATGGGGTACACAGAGGAGTCAAGACACAGGAGAGCCAGGACACAGCAGAGCTGCAAGACAGGAGCAGGGAAGCAGGCGAGCTAGGACAGAGTCAGGGGAGCTGGGACACAGGGGCGTCACAGGCCTCAGCCCACCACTGGCACCCCATGGGCAGCAAGGGAGTGAACGTGCTGGTTGAGCCCTTTCACTTACCATCTGCGTGGAGGAGGAGCTTCTGGGAAAGTGGTGCATTCGAGGAGTTGCTAGGTAATGCTGATAGTGCTGAGGGATGGGCCGCACCTGGAACTGAGTGGGACTCAAGCCGGCATCCACACTGAGATCCCTGCAGGGACACAGCCTCAGTGAGCCACAGGGTGGTGTGATTCAGCCATCAAGCTACAGAAGGGACCTCACACATCAAGCTCGTGGAGTAGAGTCAGAGTCACAAACCACCAGCTCAGTGAGGGGCTTCACATGACCCAGCGCTTCCCCTCTCTTTAGAGGGAAAGAAGGCTCTGCAAGCTCTGAAGGAGCTAGAGCTTCCCAAGCCCTATAAACATCTTGAAACTAGGGCACCAACGCACCCTCCCAAGACAAAGCCCATCCCTGAGAGAAATGTTGAAAGAAGAATCCAAACAGAGCAGGTCAGGATACAGAGCAAAGGAAAGACAAGGTCAAGACAAACATGGAGGAGGGAGCAGAGGCCATAGTTTTACCACTTTGAGAAAACAAGGGAAGGGGGCGGGGGATAGAGAGTAACTGGGTAAGGGACACAAAGAATAATTGCAATTTGTAATGATGAACATGCTAATAGTATTGATGTGATCATCACATACTGTAACAAAACTGATAGCCAACTCTGTACCCCATAAATATGTATAATCAATTATGTTTCAATTCTAAAAATCAATCCATTAATTAAAAAAAGAAAACAACAAAAGAGGGATCTCTACATTAGCTCTGCAGACTAGAAAAGCTATCCTGGTCCCCCACCTCCCACTCCTAAAAGTACAGGAAAACTCATTTCACATTAAACTTAATTAATTAATTAATTACACTGAAGAGAAACCAATAGATAATTTAGGAAATGGCTAATTTCAGATGTGAGGAGAAAATGTGCAAGGTGAGTTCAAAACATCTGGATGTAACTGAAAGCAAGATAGCTACCCAAACACTACGAAGGTCATGGCAAAAGAGCTCAGGAATCATCCTGAAGAGGCTCCCACTGGCCACAGCTAAGATAATTTGCATATCAGTAAGCATAACTGCAATAGAGATGTACACACATCAAACAGGTTTAAATCCATGAGTGAAATGACGCCAAAAAAAAAAAAAAAAAAAAAAGTTGATCATCTTTGCAGGATGCTAAGTAATCAAGTCTTCATTTTGAAAGCTAGTAAATGAAAGGATAAAACCAAGCATTTATTTTGCCTTTCCTTTATTAACTGTTCTTCAGGGTAACCAACTATCTGATCAGGGGAAACTTCTCCTTATCTAAGTTTTCCAGCTAATAGATGAATAAAGAATGATTGAATTATTTGTCACAATTTTGTATCCCCTAAAGAAATAAAGGATCTAGGCAAAGATCCTTTATTCATCCTAATTGATGAATTATGCTAACAATGCAAAAGGAGAGACAATCAGACTTTACGTTCTTTCTGGCTGAAGGACATAATACCGTCTATGATTTATTTTTGCCAAGAAATCAGAATTGAATGTGAATCTGTTCAAGCCTTGAGCTAAGTGCCAATGTGTAAGGAATACAGGAAACTGAGGAATATCTTAAACGCTACCATGAGAGTGTAACTAGAATAATCCAGATAAGGGGAAACTACAGGAAGAACAGCCTCGTTTCATTAATAAAAACATTTAAAAAAAAAGAAAAAGAAAAAAGACGTGGTGGGGCGCTAAAGGAATTTCTGCCTCCAGCCATGTTGGGATAATGGGAATTAAATTTACCTTCGCACTGTAAACCACTAGAAAACTGGTCAGAATACATTTAGTACCTGTTTTCAGGCACTGGAAATAAGCCTTGTAGAGTTGTGATCCATGAAAGGGAAACAAATGAGGTAAGCTTTATAATTCCCTGGTGTTTTGCATGAAGGTGCATTACAGATCATGAGCAGGGAGGGGGACCCTAGGCAGAGCATGGTGGTCTTGATGACTTGAGGATTCAGAGATCTTATTTCAGGGAGGCTGAGGTCTCTGAAAGTTGTGGTGCAGTATTTTGAAGAGGAGGGAGCTGCATAGAATTAGAGCTCCAGAAACCTGCAGGAGTCTTTACTGAATATTAAGATAGGCATGCATGGGATGAAATTCCACCATGTTGTGCAAAGAGAGCAACCGAGGAATAGTGAGTGGTTCCCAGAAGTTAGACAGGGTTTAGGAAGCATTTGTGTTCCAACAAGCTAGTGTGAAGGGTCCTTGTTGATCATTCAGGGCATTCAGTAGAGACCCCAGGAGAGCCTTTTAAAGCTTGTTTATAAGCTTTATTAGGGCAGGTCTAGACTAATCTCAGCTCTAGAGATGTTATAAACCTGCTGTGATAAGACACAAAAACAAGCCTCAAAAGGATCAAATTGAACTGCAAGTGCTGCTCCGACACTCTTTAAATGAATAAAATAAATCTAGTTACTCAATAATGTCTAATTTGTGATATCCCTCATTCAATAAAAAAAATTACTGGACATACCAAGAAGGAGGACAATATGTCCCATAATCAAGAGAAAATCAGACAATATAAACACCCCAAGACTCAGAGATGACAGAGATGATGGAATTAGCAGACAAGGATGCTCAATGGCTATTATAGTCATGTCTGAGTGTGTAAAAGAAAACATGAATATAGGAAGGAGAAAAATGGAGAATATTTATTAAACAACCTAAATGGAACTTCTAGAGATGAAAAATGCAAACATCTGAAATGGAAAATTCACTGGGTTGGATTAACACCAGACTAGATACTACAGAAGAAAAGATTAGTGACTTGGAGACATACCAATAAAAATAATCTAAAATGAAGCACACAGATGAGACTAAAAAATTAACAGTCTCAATGACGATATCAAGTGGTTAGCCATATGGGTAAGCAAAGACCCAAAAAGAGAGGATGGTGGGTAGAAGACAGAAAAATATTTTAGAGGGCCGGCCCCGTGGCTCACTTGCGAGAGTGCAGCGCTGATAGCACCGAGGCCGCAGGTTCGGATCCTATATAGGGATGGCTGGTGCACTCACTGGCTGAGCATGGTGCAGACCACACCTTGCCAAGGGTTGCGCTCCCCTTACCAGTCAAAAAAAAGAAAAATATTTTAGAGGGCCGGCCCCATGGCTCACTTGCGAGAGTGCAGCGCTGATAGCACCGAGGCCGCAGGTTCGGATCCTATATAGGGATGGCTGGTGCACTCACTGGCTGAGCATGGTGCAGACCACACCTTGCCAAGGGTTGCGCTCCCCTTACCAGTCAAAAAAAAGAAAAATATTTTAGGGAAAAAATGGCTGAAAAAAATTCCAAATTTGATAAAACCTATAAACCCATAGATCCAAAAAGCTCAATAAACTTCAGGCAAGATAACACAGAAAAATCACCCCAAGGCACATAATAACCAAATTCCTGGAAAAAAATAGTAAAGATAAAATCTTAAAAGTAGCCAAAGAAAAAAAGACACATTAGATAAGGAAGAACATAGATAATAATTATCATAGACTTCCCATTAGAAACAAAGCAAGCCAGAAGACACCAGAATGACATCTTTAAACCGCTGAAGGAAAAAACTGTCAACTTAGAAATCCATACTCAACAAAAAATCTTTCAAAATGAAGGTGAAATAAAGACTTTTTCAAACAAACAAAAGTTGAGAGAATGTGCTTCCAGCAGACCAGTGCTACAAGAAATGTTAAAGGAAGTTTTCTAGACAGAAGAAAAATTACACCAGATAGAAACCTACATCTAGACAAAGGAATAAAAAATGCCAGAAATGATAATCATGAGGGAAATATAAAAGATTTTTTCCCATTTAGAAAATGTCTTTAAAGTTTAATTGATTGTTTAAAGTAAAATTGGCAAACTTTTTCTGTAAAGGATCAGATAGTAAATATTTTAGTCTTCAAAGGCCATTTAGTCTCTGTCACAGCTATTCTGATGTCCTTTGTAGTGCAAAAGCAGCCATAAGCAATACATAAACAAAAGGGGTGCCAGTGTTTCAATAAAACTTTATTTACAAGAATGAGGAGCAGACCAGATGTGACCCACAGGCCATTGTTTGAAACTATGGTTTAGAGAAAGATTATTTGTGATTATTTTTTAAGTAGAGGTAAAACCTGCAAAAGGAATAGCAGAATTTGAAAAGAATAAAGGAAGTGTACTGTTGCAAGAACTTTACATTACAGACAAAGTGGTATAATTCTGTTTTAGGGTAGAGTGTGATAAACAAAATATGTATATTGTAAATCAAGTGTATTCACAAAAGAAAAGAAAAGAAAATGGTATGACTATTAAGCCAATATTTAACCCTAAAAAATACTCAAATGATTCAAAAGAAGACATAAAATAGACAAAAAGTAATTTTTAAAAGATGGGATAGATAGAAAACAAAAAGCAAGATGGTTGATTCAGTTCCAACCAAATAGATAATTACATTAAATTTAAATGGTCTGAAAACTCCAATTAACAGCCAGAGATTGTCCACTGGAAAACTATGCTGTCTATATAAAACCCATTTTAAATATAAAGACATAGATAAGTAAAAGAAGGAAAGAGACACACCATGGAAGCACTAATTCAAAGAAAGCTGGAATGGCTGTGTTCATATCAGACTAAGTAGACTTTGAACCAAGGGTTGTGATCAAGGATAAAGCAGGACATTTAGTAATGAGAAAGGGGCCTATTCATCTTGATGACATAACAATTCTTATATGTGTCCTAATATGTGTAGGAAATATATATTCTAATATATATAAATCAAAACAAGTGAAGCAAAAGCTGACAGAACAGAAAGAATAGACGAATTCTCAATTGTAGTTGTAGACTTCAACCATCCTCCCTTATAATTCATAGAACAAGCAGACAAAAAATTCGATAATGATATAGAAGAACTGAACAATGCTTTAAACCAATTTGATCTAATTGACATTGATAGAACACTCCACTCAACAAAAGCAGAATATATATTCTTTTAAATACGTATAGAACATTTACTAAGATAGAACATATGCAGAACCATACAACAAATCTCGATAAATTTAAAAGGATTAGAATTATACAGAGTATGTTTTCTGATCACACTGATATTAAGTTAGAAGTCAATAACAAAAAGATTTCTGGGAAATCCCAAGTATTCAAAAATT